ATCACTGACCTCTCTAAATACATGTACGCTGGACTGGCTATGCCATAGAAAATGCTTATGCCAATTTAAAGCGCCATCATTGTCCGTACCGGGAAGTAAAATTGACATATTATGCCAAAGTCTATTGTAATATTTAAATCATATCTCTGTATTTTGAATTTTTAAACTAAAAAATTAAATTATTTTATATGGTTTGATTATGTGTTGCTTATATGAGTGTTGTAAAGAATTGTACAACCTTAAAACTATTTTAATCTTTGTTATTCTTAGGACAGAGATTTTTTCGAGCTAATTGAATAATTATTGAATTTATAAATTTAAATAATTTATAATTAATTATATATAACCTATATTGAATAAAGGTTATTATTTATTTAGTTATTTATTTAAACTTTATACAATATGATGTATAGGCGGACTTAATGCTTGAGGCATTATCTACAAGTCAACCTTAGGGTGATGCAGAGATAAAAATATAAAGTAGGTGTATAAAACGCTAAAGGACAAGAGTATAAATTAAAGTATATAACTATAAAACAAAACAATACATATACCCATACATAAACTTACATATTGTGACGCCTCATAATTATTATTAATAAATAATAATTAAATTCATTATAAAGACATTTAAAGATATCTTAGAAATTATACTTTAAACAATGAAAATGCAAATAATAAGTATAAAGTTCAAATATGTTCATTTGGAATATTGAATATTATTAGTACAGTAAACGCATAAATTGTCTCTAAAAATCTCTAAATTTATTAAAAACCTGCTTAAAATGTTCAAAATGTATCAAATCATATAAATACAAGTCGATTATATTGCAATAATAAAGATAAAACATTTGTAATATAATAGAAAAAATGGATCAAAATTTTCTTAAGTTGATGAGGGTGTTCTTATAACAATTGGAAAATTTCTAAGTTGATGAACGTGTCCTTGTAATGTTCCTTTATATTGGGGCGTCGCCGGAGACACATACCCAAGGTTGTACATATAAATGCGGTGGTCGGCTGACCGACTGCTAGTACTAAGGTTGCACAATGACTAGTCCTATATTAGGGAATTATCATAGTAAGGTCTAACGAACCAAATCACTCCACCTAGAGGGGGGACGCTCTATACTTCGCCTGCCGGTACGAGGCTACCACTCGAGAACCTTTCTTCCCCATCGATTGTCGGTTTTTCGAGCTTTAACCATAAGTATTTTAAATAACTCTGTTTACAGTTCGTAAAAGTGGCTGTTCAGGCGCAGTTTGTTCTTTTATAATAAATCGAGTTGTTAATGTAATATTTTACGTAAACTATTATATTTATTGTGTAAATTATTAATTAATACGTGAAAATCGAAATTTTCGTACGTTTATATTAGTTTTATTACTATAGGAGTGAAACATTGTCAAATTTACATCATTCGAGATGTACCTAGTCAGGTCATAAGTATTGTCACACAGTAAAAACTTTTCTTTTAGAATGCTGGCTACAAAAAATTCCAACAAGATTCGGAGCCAGCTCAACGAGCGAAGAGCACAAAAGACTTGCTTGCGGTGCGTGAAATCGACTTCATCCGGCACGAAGACTGGCCCTCCTCCAGTCCAGATTTGAATCCGTTAGATTACAAGATATGGCAACACTTGGAGGAAAAGGCGTGCTCAAAGCCTCATCCCAATTTTGAGTCACTCAAGACATCCTTGATTAAGGCAGCCGCCGATATTGACATGGACCTCGTTCGTGCTGCGATAGACGACTGGCCTCGCAGATTGAAGGCCTGTATTCAAAATCACGGATGTCATTTTGAATAAACTTTAGTGTCATAAGAATCTATGTTTTGTTAAGTTCATTTTGGTATATAAATAGTTACATAATGAATAAACTTGTTTCAATTATTTTATATTAAACATGTGACAGAATTTATTACCTGACTAGGTATATCGTGCACTGTGCTATAATGTTCACAAAATAATGTGTGAATGTAGTCGTAAAAGCAGGTAAAAAATGATTTTCCGATATAAAACTCCTGAACCAATTAAATGAAAGCACTGATCACGTAGACGATTGTATGCTGATGTGTAATTGGTCGAATTTCGACCACAAACGATACACGTTTTGAATAATGCTCGCACAATGGAAATTCTAAGCTGCTTTGTGCTGACCTACCACCGTGCAAAGCCGTGAAAAACCGTCCGTCCAAGTAATACAATTTGAGGTCTTTTGTATAAGTGAAGTTTATGCGTTACCTTTCCTTACCCAACATTTATCACTCCATATTACACTTTCAATAATAAGACTAGGCTTGTATCCTTCCTACTGGGGTACAGCCTTAGCTATAATTTATACTATAAAATAATAAATAAAACGGTCTAATTGAACACTTATGCATGGTGCGTGTCCTATAATATTATTTTTAATTTATTTTATGACTAGCTGTTCCCCGCGACTTCGCTCGCGTGTTAGGGTTTTTATTTTTTTGCGCGGAACCATGATTCCTTTTCTAAAATAAAAGTGGCCTAAGTTACTCATTATGACATCAGCTATCTGCCAGTGAAAGTCCTAAGAATTGTATTTTAGTAATAAGTACCGTATTTACTTTCAAATGCATTCAGTAAAAAGCTGTTATTTTGACATTACAAACAGACACTTCAATTTCATTTAAGATATGAAATGAGAGTCCGAGTATCACAATACAAAAGGGCTATTTGCCTTTTCATTAAAGTACTATTGAAACAAAAGTTTTAAACTACTAAATAATAAAATTTGAGCTTAATTTTAATACATAATTAATACACAATCGCTTTTCCATTACTATGATATACTTAAAGCAAACTTTCGTTTTATTTTCTTTTGACGGCGCCAAGTAAATTTATTGGAATTGATAATAAACGATTACCAGCAATATTGATCACCTGTTTTCGTGATCTTCTATTGCCGCATCATTGCTTTAACAAAATGAAGCTTCATCAAAACTTAATTCCCAATGTCATTAAATATTTAAAAATAACTGATGTTATGAAAATCTAATGATATAATTCCTCATAAATATATAATTCCGCAGTGTAATAAGAAATTTCTGATAAGTTATTGCGTCGATAATATTTACAATTCAATAATACAAGAAAAATGATTCAAATACAGTAGGAGAAGATAACTACAAAAGTAGCTGAGTAATATTGCTTGTGATTGTTTATTATCAATTATCAATAAGAATTTAAGTGGTGTCATCGGGGACGAATATCTAACGCCCCAAATATTCCCTTGGATGTCGTAAGAGGCGACAAGGTGAAACAAACCAGAAGATGGGCAGCAGCGTCTTCCTAATAACAAGCAGGAAAAATTAACTGCGGCTGCCATTCCGTCTTCCAAGCGTTGCAATCATGGCAAATATCCCCCTTATGATGCAATCTATAGGCACACATAGAATTCTGCACATAGGAGTCCTATGTGCAACACTGGACTTTGATAAGCTGTAATAGGTAAATGAATAAATTACAATGAAAATTTTAAATACAGTTAGATTATTAAGCATACTATAATATCATAATGTTGTGTAATTATATGTTGTGTAAGCTAAGTGAATACTTAATTGCTATTAAAGCTTCGTTTAAGTTTGCTTAAATAAAACGAGATTATTCTGATACATAATGCATATTTAATTAAATATTTTTGTTAGCAAAAAAAAGGTGTGTCGTGCACAGTGCTACAGACGTGCAAAAAATCATGTGTGAATGTTTTCGTTAAAGCAGGTATAAAGTGATTTTCCGATATAAAACGCCTTAAACAATTTAATGAAAGTATGCTTTAATCTGATCTGATTAGACACTTTTATCACGTTCATGATTGTATGCTGATGTGTCCACAAACGAAACTGACACAACGAAACGAAACAAATGAAAATCGTATTGAATAATGCTCACACAGTGAAAATTATAAGCTGCTTCGGGCTGGCTTACTTGCAAAGCCGTGATGGTAAAAGGCTTGAAATAACCGTCTGTCTAAGTAATAAAATTTGCGCTCATTTGCATAAGTAAAGTTTAAGCGTTACCTTTCCTTACCCAACATTTATCACTCCATTACCCTATCAATAATAAGACGAGGCTTGTATTCTTCCTACTGTGGTACAGGTTTAGCTATATTTTTTATAAACAAATAAAACTGTCTTTTGTGTATACTGTGCGTATAATATAATTTTTTATTTTATGATAAGAAATTGAGAGTCCGAGTATAAGCGGTTACAAGAAGGTTATTTGGGTTTTCATCAAAATACATTGAAACAGAAGTTTTAAACTATTGCAGAATAAAATTAGAACTCAATATTAATATAAAATTAGTTCACAAACGCTTTTCCATTATTATGAAATACTTAAAGCAAACTTTCGTTTTATTTTCTTTCACTCGGATCACATACACTTTGCTCTTTATCTTAGCTTGGTTTCATTTCCATAGAAACTTTAGTTCTTCTAGTACTTACATTATTAATATTGAACAAGTTTTTTTTTTAATTTGATAGCTCTTTTGAGCTAATTTGAGCCGTGCCAGCTCAGGCGCTAAGCGGGCAACCCGGGTTCGCTCCCACCGACACCAATTATAAATTATTAATTACAATTTTAAGTGCTGATTTACCACGTGCTCCGCGGTGAAAGACAACATCGTGAAGAAACCTGCATGTGCGATAAATAAGAAAAAAATAATATTTTGAAGATATGTGAAGTTCGCCAATTGGAGCAGCGTGGCGGACATTTCCTTGCCCTAAAAACCTTCTCAGAAAGGAGTGGAGCCCAGCAGGTATATAAGCTGTAACTTTAACTTTTTAATGATTGATCATATGCTGATGTAGAAAAGTTGGTGAAGGGTTATATATTATAAATAAGGTAAATAAAATAGGACTTAGATGTTGATTTTTCAGCTTATGTGTTTATTTTAGTGTACTGAAATGAAACTAGTTGTTCAAAGTTGTTCTTTTCCGGTTTAATATTTCTCTAGAATTACCCAACTTTCATTAAATCTTACCGTATTTTACTTTCAAATTAGTTTCTACGTCGGAAAGGTTTTTTTGAGCCTGATGTTCGTCTTCCAATATGGCCTTATAAACCATTAGATGGTCTTTACATCCCCTGGCACCACGGCGACATCCCCGTTGCTCTACGGCCATTATGTTATTTTTATCGCAATGATTATACAATACGTTGGCTAATAAGGAAGTAAGTAATTTGTACATACTCGGTAAACATGCTATTGTTCTCCAGTTTTCTGGGTTTTCGGTGCTGTAACGAACCATTCTTCCATTATTTCTGTACCTGAAACTATTTTAATGAATAATGAAGCTATTTTACTGAATAATGAAGCTAAGTATCTATGAACACTGGTTAGGTATTTTAAATAATAATTTTGACTTTTATCTATCCCAGGTGATTTCCAACTTAACAGTTTTCTGATTGCAAATTTTACTTGTTCCTCTGTTATCTCTTGTATATCTTCTCTATGAATTTCACTTGACAACATTTTTACTTCTATTATCCAATTAGCATCGAAATTATGTTGCGTTCGGTTTGATAAAATTGAGTACCCACCAAAATTCTTCCACTGCTACTTTACTCGGTATTTTGTTGTTTTTGTTATAATTGCATCCTAAAATTCTTTACAGTCTATGCTCATTTTCATTAAATAACCTATTCTGGATTTTTCTAGTGTTAATGTCTTCGTATCTCTTTATTCTACCTGCTAAAGCTTTAACTTTTTGCTTAATAGTTTCTGTTATATTATTGTGAATATCGTCGTTCAGAATGTTGTATTTGGTATATAAGTTTTCCTTTATTTTCATCACCCTACGTGTTTTTTGAATCCCTTTTAAATTTCTTTTAACTGTCCTAATTCCTTCCTAAACTTATCTATTTTAGCTTGTATTCTTTTTTTTCACGGTGTTAAATTCATGCTGACGTGACACAGACAATTTTCAATTTGCCGCCAAATCGTAAACAAATGAAAAATTAATAAAATACATACATAATAATATTAGCAAAGAGTAACATTTTCAAAACTTGAACTATTTTTTTTTAACTATTATATCGTTTACAAGAGGCCAGTTCTAAAAACTTTTAATGTCGCCCTCGTAAGTTGTTGCGTCCATAATATTTACAATTAATAATACAAGAAAAACTATTCAACTACAGTAGGAGAAGAAAAACACAAAAGTAGCTGAGCAATATTGCTTGTGATTGTATTTTATCAATTGTAATTAACCATTTAAGTGGTGCCATCAGAGATTAAATTAGAGTTGCTTGCGTGTGGTTACACCACATGTGAGTAACCCGTTTATGGTGAGCTCCTAAGCCATGTCTCGTATTATATAATACATAATAATGTATGATTTAACTAAACATTATTATCAATTTCATTTGATGTGTACACCAACCCATTAGTATCGAGAGGAACGTTAATATAATGTTGGCTTTAATACAAGCTGACGGATATGATTTATGAGCTTTGACAAGACTAAGCTACTCGGTGCGTGATCCTGAGAATATTACGCTTGTCGATATTTTGAAGTTGATTGTCCTGTATTTGATTAAATTGTTATTTATCTATGTAGATTTCTGAATGTATATACGATTCCAGTAAAAAGGGTCTCCTGTTCTCTACACTCACCATACGAAACATTTTAGGCTATAATTCTGTGAGAGCTTAGTCCTACCCCGGTCGAGCCGACCCAGTCGTGCTACAACATAATATAGTTTTAATGTGGCATAACGTAAATGATAAATATCTTATAAAAAAATTAATGAAATCCATTAATTCAATTAACTGTTCGATACCACTAGAGACTTGGGGCTGGTTCTTTTTTCGCCCATAGGCTAAAAATATATAAAAATTATAATAATATATAAAAATAGCATTTAGCCTATGAGCTAAAATTATGGGCGTTCTATTTGGTAATTTTTGTTTTTAGTTTTTATTGAAATAAATAATGTTTATTATAATTCTCTATCACAAACTATAAATCGATAAAAACACTTGTAATATAATTATACTTCCTTTCTTTTGTCAGTATTTCGCATTCATAAAGTCACAAGAAACGAACTAAAGACATCTTCGCGAAAAATCTTTTGTAACAACTGAATTTAGTAAAGCAAAGTGTAATAAATTATGTAAATTAAAACAAATAAAATAATAAACCAAACCACCAAAATGTTTCTTGGAAATAGATAGATATGTAGAAATTTGCTGAAATAGTCGAAACCAGAGCATGGTTATAAGTACATAAGACACTTCTTAAACTGAGGTAGGATGATAGCATTAAGTAAGAGTTTATGAGTGCTTTAGTAGAGCACGTTCTTGTTCTATCGTCTAAATCATGTTTTTTTAACTTTGTTCAAGTAAAGCCAATATCGTTATAAAAAAAATCACAAAACACTAACAGAATAAATTAAACACAATTGTTAGATTTCTACCTATGTATGACATTGACCTTTTAAGGGAAAAAAATAATAAATAGAATGATTTCTTATATTTTGTTAATGAAACATAAACTTCTACTATTGTGCTAGCTTACGTATGACCACTTTAAGTTGCTGGTAGAATAGAATAACGTCAAACGATACTATCGATCACCTTTTCAATCGATAGGTTAAAACCGACATTTATCCTGACGAATGAACCATGTAGTTCTGGTGCGTCATCAACTGTGCTTATTACTCAAGCAACTTACGTTGTTCCTATATATATCATCATCATCTGGGGGCACGGCAGTGATCGCCAAGTCGAGTAAAAAAGCGACACGGCCGTACTATCCTTTTCTCGAAGCAGTTCAGACCATTTTTGACCCCCTATAACTTCGTTGTGGATAAAACTAGAAGCCTGAATTTTCATTAACCAAGCAGGCATTGTATAAACACGATATATTTTATTCAATTTGAACTAGTAGTTTAAGAATTATAACTAGTCAGTTTCTTAACGTTGTCACTCACTCACTGACTGACCGATCATCAAAACTCTACACTTCTAGCAGACACAGAACCTTCAAATTTAGAATAATATTAGTGTTTAGTGTATAAATCAAGTAAAAACAAAAATATTATCAATTACTTATGCAGTTGATGTATCAACTGCATAAGTAATTGATTTGTAAATATATATATATATATATATATATATATATATATATATATATATATATATATATATATATATATATATATAGGATTACAAAGTTACATTTACAGTGAATGAATCAGTATACCTGTATATTAGGTATAATATAATGGAATAATAGGTGTATATAGGTACCTAGGTATAATTATGTTCAAAGGTAACTTATAACAATGGTTAATGGAATGAAAAAGCAAGAGTGGGACATGTCTTATGAAGTTTTACCAAAATCCCGCAAAGTATTAAGTAGACTAAATTGCCCGAAATTGCCATGAAATAAAGAACACTAGATACTAATCATAACCGCGGTCGGCGGAGGTGGCTTGCCCGCGCTACGGCTTCCACGCTTCCCGTCTGTTACTGAAAGGCGGCCACTTTCTTCCAGGCAACCTTTGGGTTTTACTGCGATATCGCAGGTATACACATGAACAACGTTTTATTTAACTTACGCAAATATTATGAAAAAAAGTAGGACTATCTACAAAAATAAATGAGTCGCCATCAAAAACATAACATAAAAAAACAAGTCTCTCAACTCAGTTCTTCTACCGTAAAAAGTTGTGAGATCCATGTAATACCAAGCCGGTTAATTTATTCAGTCCATACTTAAGGGTCCTTCTGTTTTAAGTTATTACGTAATTAGCTAAGCTAACAACATCTTATAGTGACCATATCAATATTAAAAATATTTTATGTTTTAAATAAATAGATTGTCTTGGTCATCCCCGTACATAAATACCCGACAATAAATAGATTGGAAATCCCTGCAAGACGGATAAAACAAAATACCTAAACATGCTTTTTTTAGGTCAAAAATTATACAATTAGTTATGTACTTATATTGTTGTGTACTTATTTTATATCTATGATTTTTATTTACATACTGTATTCTACTCCATCAACAGAAAAAACTATAACTATATTTTTAGCTGGATAAGTGAATACTTAACCTCTCAGACATTTTATAGGACAAACTTCGTCAGAACTACGGTCAAGCCAAAAAGTATAGTAGTGGCCAAAGACAATTTTTTTAATGATGGTAAATACAACTTAGAATAATTTCTATGTTCTTATTCAAAAATAAAAAATTATCAACAATTAAAATATCGAATTATTTGTATGAAGGTCAAGTGAGCGCTAGAGAAACGACATTCAAGACGATTTGTCGATAAATGAAATGTTTTGAAAAATCGTCAATTACCGTGTAGAGGCTTAGTTCATTTAATTTGGTTAAATCAGTGACAGGAGTAACGGAGAAAATAATACGGTGGCGGCGCGAAAGAACAGCGTTATTTTGGAACTATTTCACTGGCGATAGAGGGAAATAAATCAGGAGATGGGCAGCAGCGTCTTCCTAATCTATACAAATAAATAAACTTGAAGTGTCTGTTTGTAATGTTAAAATTATGGCTTTTTACTAAATGCATATGAAAGTATATACGATACTTATAACAAACACACAATTTTTAAAATGTATGTCTGTCTGTGGGTCTGTCTGTCTGTCTGCCTGTCTGTCTGTTTGTTCTGGCTGATCTCGGAAACGGCTGGACCGATTTTGACGGGACATTCACTCGCAGATATCTGATGTCATAAGGAGTAACTTAGGCTACTTTTATTTTAGAAAAAGAATTAGGGTTCCGCGTAAAAAAGCTAAAACCCCAATTAACACGCGGACGAAGTCACGAGGAATAGCTAGTAATGACTAAAAATAAAAAGAACTGTGGTTGCCAACCGCTTGCCAAGCGTGGCAACTATGACAAATATACCCTCTATGAGGCATATAGTGGAGGCCTATGTTCAGCGGGGGTTTTTATAGGCTTTAACTGTATTTATTGTAATAGTGATAAGAAAAAAATGTGGGAGGAAAAACAGACGAACATTTTTACTAAATTTAATCTCGGTGGAACGCGGATGCTCCGTGCGATGCTTAGGGGCAGCGTTGCAAATGTGGGTGATATTTGTGGCAGTAAAATTTTGTGCTCCCCTTTATTTCCATGGCTCATGGCCAGCAGTGGAAGGAAACTGTAAGGAGAGGGAAGGTGTAGTTTTATTATTTTAAAAAATATTTTATGTGTGTAAAAAAGTCATCAAACAATTTATTAAAAAAAAAGTTGCATAAACAAGTTCAATGGT